AAAAAAAAAAAAAAAAAAAAAAAAAAAGGAGGACATCGTGGTACATGCCTGCTATCCCAACTCTGGGAGGTTGAAACAGGTCATTACAAATGCAAACCTAGCCTGGAAAACTCAGCAACTTAGACCCTGTACAAGATCTCAATGATAAATTTAACTGTATTGTTTGCTTTAAATGTACCAATAAACTTAATGGGGGAAAATTTTAAAAACAAAAAAGGGCTGCTGAAATATTCCTAGAATAAATTTAACAAAAAAGTGTAATTTTTGTATATTGGAAACTACTGAACCCTGAAAAACTACTGAGAAAAGTTCTACAAAACTACTGAAAAAAGATCTACATAAATGGGAAGATATCCTGTGTCCAAAGACCAGAAGAATTACTACTGTTAAGATTCATGGGCCAGGGATGTAGCTCAGTGGTTCCGCTGCCTGCCTCACAAATGCAAGGTCCCAAGTTTGATCCCTAGTACCCCCCCAAAAAAGATTCAAAGCAGGCCATGGTGGTGCACGCCTGTAATCCCAGCATTCTGGAGGCTGAGGCAGTAGGATCACTGCAAGTTCAAGGCTAGCCTAGGCTACACGGTGAGTTCAGGGCCAACATGAACTACAAAGCAAGACAACCCTGCTTCAAAAAAAAAAAGAAGATTCAATACAATCTCTATCTAAACTTTCACTGGCTTTTTTGAAAGAAAGTAATGAGCTTATCCTAAAATTTATGAAAACAGGGCCAGGGATTTAACTCAGTGGTGCAGCCATCTGCCTCACAAGCACAAGGTCCTGATTTCAATCCCTGGTATCAGATAAATAAATAATTAGGCCAGGAATTTAACTCAGAGTTTCTGCTGCCTTCCTTGCAAGCCCAAGGACCTGAGTTCGATCCCCAGTAACAAAAACAACAACAGCAACAACAAAAATGCAATTGTTATAAAGGGCCGGGGATTTAGCTCAGTGGTTCCGCCACCTGCCTTGCAAGCACAAGGACCCAGATTTGATCCCTGGTACCAAAACCAAAACAAAAATAAATAAATAAATAATAAACAAAATTTATGGAAACAGAAGGGACCTTAAACAGCCAAACAGTCTTGAAAAAGAACAACAAAGTTGGAAGATTCCTATTTCCCAGTTTCAAAATTCAGTACATAGGTAAGTAACCAAGTGAGTAAGGTACTAGCACAAAGAGGGACTTTTAGATGAACAAAATAACTGAGTTGAGAAATAAACCTCAAACAATTATGAGTAACTGACTTTTTTTTTCTTTTTTGGTACAGGCGATCAAACTCTCAGGACTTTCTGCTTGTGAGGCACGCGCGGTGCCACTGAGCTAAATCCCCAGCCCAATGGAGTAACTGATTGGGGGGGTACTGGCGATGGAATTCAGGACCTTATTCTTGCAAGGCAAGTGGCAGTACCACTAGCTATATCCCAGGCCTGGGTAACTGATTTTTCTTTTTTTTTTTGGTATGGGGAATCAAACTCAAGACCTTGCACTTGTAAGGCAGGCGGCGGGATCATTGAGCTAAATCCCTGGCTGGGTAATTGATTTTCTGACAATGGGATCAGGACAATTAAAAAAGGAAACAGTCTTTCCAAAAAATGATGCCCATAGAATGACATCTACATGGAAGAGAATAAAATTTGACTCATCTCACGCTATATAAAAAAATTAATATGAAATGGATCAAAGATCTACAACTGAACTCTTAGAAAAAAATGGGTAAATTATGATGAGCTTGGATTAGGCAGTAGCTTCTTAATTATGATACCAAAAGTGCAAGCAACAACAACAAAAGAGAAATAGGGCTTCATCAAAATAAAAAAACCTTTACAGGGGTGATGGTGCACACTTGAAAGGTTGAGACAAGAAGATCACAAATTTGAGGCCAGCCTAGGATACACAGTGAGTTTAAATTCAGCCTGAACTACATATCAAGATCCTGTTTTAAAAAACAAAACAAAGACCGAGGATTTAGCTCAGTGGTTCTGCTGCCTGCCTCGCAAGTGCAAGAACCCAAGTTTGATCCCCAGTATCAAAACAATAACAACAACAACAAACAAAACAAAAGCTGTGCATCAAAGGATACCACCAAAAAGCAGAAAGAAAATCCACTGAGTTGGAGAAAGTTTTTGTGAATTGTGTTTCTGACAAAGTACTTGTGTAAAGAATATATAAAGAACTCCTACAACCCATGTATTGTAAAAGTCTGGTGGTACATGCGGTAAATGTCTGTAATCCCAGTACTCTTAAGAGGTTGAAGCAAGAGGACTGCAAAATCCAGTCCAGCCTTAGCAACTCTGAGAATTAGTGAGACCCTGCCTGAAAGTAAAAAATAAAAGTGGGCTATGGATAGACACGGCCACCCTTCATACTCTGAGAACTCTTCACTCAGCAGATCCCACCCTATCTGCCCCCATATGCTCCCCCAGGCCCCTCCCACTTACTTCTGTCTGGGGCCTTTGTGCTACACAGTTCTCCTCCCAACAGAGCTTTTGTTCACCTATGTTCATCTACCTGGCCTCATGGGCCATGTCCCCTTGAAGCAGGTTCCCTAGGACTTCAGTCTCTACTGGCCATACCAACTGGACCACCTGCACAGCACTTCCCATTCCCTATCTACCCTCTGTGAGGACGCAGCTCCATGGGAGTGGGTACAGGAGCATGGAACACACTGCCACTCACCAAGTCCCGGAGCTCCTCGCCCACCTCCATACCACTCATCTGACCAATTTGGAAGATGCAGAATGAGGGGGGTAAAAGCAGAAGAGAGGTCACGATGGCACCTAGATGTGGGAATGGGGTATGCTGCCCATTCTCGATTCCCCACACCCCGTGCTGGCCTCCCTGAGCGCCAGAACCCAGGCCTGACCTTGGGCTCCCACAAGCTTCACTGATCAGTCCCATGTGGACAGAGGGCCCATGCTTTCCTCACCTCATCTCTACCTTCTCGTTCAAATACCACATGCAGAACAAAGGGCTGGAGAATGCCCAAACTAGTAAGGGTTCCCTGCCTCTGGGCTCAGCCTGTCCGTGTGCACTACTGGTTCTCTACAAGGTAATATCCAGTGCAGCCTTTCCATGCCTCCCCTGGGTTCAAGTGTGCCGACACAGCCTTCCCCACAGAACCGTCAGCCCCAGGGTACACAGCAGCAAGCACTAGCACCCTTTGTTGTGATGCTCCCCTGACTTTGTGGGCCCCCACCCCACTCACGAGCCCCTCCTGGCTAGACTCACACCTGTAGGGAGGGGGCGAGGCAAGGGGATGGGGACTTCAGTGCATAGTGTCCTTTTATCCAAAGAGATCATCTTATTATTTCTATTCCAACTATAATTACTTTGGGTCTTTACAAAAATGCTGTGTGGGGCAGGAAAGAGAAGCCCCAGCTACTCAACTGAGGCAGAGCCATACTGCAGGCAACTTGTGGTCTGTGTTAAAAAGCAAGTAGTCCCCACGAGGGAAACAAAGCACCCAGAAATGGAGGGTACTCAGTGGCGATGCCCAGCGGTTGGCAGACATCCCCACAGTTATCTCCCACATCCCATCCTGGCCCCTGACATTCCCGTCTAGTCTCCCCTTTCCTGACTGCTCCCAGGACTAGCCCCCCCGACAAAGGTTCATCCAGGGGCCCATGCCTCTTGGTGACACAAAACCCGGCAGACACACCAGAGGCCAGGAGGCAGCAATGGGCAAAGAGAGGAGACCAAGGTCTGCCGGCA